CACACACACACACACACACACACACACACACACACACACACACACACACACACACACACACACACACACCTCAGTGGGACAGAGCCTCATCACGCTGTCTCTCCAACCCTCTCATACACAACATACAGATCAGCAGAGAGCCTCCACACCGGCCCACATGGCAAACTCACCATGCATTTAAAGCAGACCACAAGGACGGAGAGCACACAGCTCAATGGACTAACAACTGGAGAGGTAGAAAAACAACAACTTAAGAATAGATAGAGCTCTCAGTCTAATTATGGCACTATTTACGTATTGTCTCCTCCAACACACCAGAATATCCAGGGACTCAAGAGTCAACGTCAGCCAGGGGGAAATGAAAATATCAACGGTTTAAAATAAAACCTTAAAGATGCTTTACTTTACTTAAGTGTCTTGATTGTGTGCAACTATGCCTGTGCTTCCTTACATTTAAGTGGTAAATATACTGAATTACACTGATACAATAACAGAAAATACTATTTAGATTACTTTGCAAACAAAGATGTCCCAGCTAACTTCGAGCTGAATGATGCATTTTTTTTATTTTAAAGAGCAAAATCAGCTACATTACTGGAGATACTGCTAAAAAGCACCGGGTTCTTTTACCAACATGTAATTAAATGTGTCTCTGCTGATGTTCCTTGGATCCAGGAAATGTTTCTTGCCAATAATTCATGTCCATAATGTTTATATAAAATAAAGTAAAATATAACACATCTTGTTATTTGTTCTAAAACTCAGGCGTTGCACGGTAGGCATCCAAAGCATTCATACACTTGGGCCTTTTTCACAGCAAACATTTGGACGTAGTGCAAAGTAAAGGTGTAACAAATAAGATAAACGATGGCTTTGTTCTATTCAGAAAGCTGCATGCAGTGTTTCTACTTCTACTGAACAACAGCTCTGAATACTTCTTCTGTTCCTGCGTGTAACCGGCTCTGCCATCTTGTTACAGTTGTTGGTGGTACTTTGTTTCTGTTTGACACAGACACGTGTTGGGCTTTAACAGTTAGCATATTCACAGCACGTACAGAAGAGAACAGACGAGATATCCTCCGTCAAAGACTTTCTAAGTTTTCCATAGATATTTGATTTGTGATCTTCTCTTTAGTAAGAATAAAGCAAAGAAACATCTCACCTGTTGCTCTGCTCCCTGCTCATTCCTGGGGGAACTAAGGGTTTATCTAAGGGTTTATCACAGCCGCCAGATGGGGGGAACTAAGCTGCTCTAAAGCCCTTAGAGGGGGCTCCACGATTGTAAACAGACAATGATCATCAGAATACCTCCAGGAAAGAGGCTAGCTCAGCTCACACAGAGAGACAGGCCAGCTAAGGTTGGACAGGTGGGTGAAAGTATTGAAACAAAGGGAGAGAGAGAGAGAGCGAGAGAGAGAGATAGAGAGAGAGCGAGCGAGAGAGAGAGAGAGAAAACAATGACAGAAAGAGAACGGGAGGATTTCTGGCTCGACTGTCATTCCCAGTGCCACCAAAGCTGTCGTAAAACAGACACTACCTGAATATTCACAGGATGACACGGGGGGATTCTGAGCAGAGTGGAGCTGCTCCACAGCCTGTGTGTGTCCTGCTCACTAATACATGACAGATAATCTCCTTACTCACAAGACTCAGTGTGCCGGCCGAGCAGTGCCTGAATGAAACTGTTCAACTACTTCAAATCATCCAGGAATCCTTAGTTGATTGGTAAACTCCTGAAATGTTATCATTATATGAAATATTATCTTAAATAATACTCAGTTAATCATTTAAGTTATTCATTGGGGAACATTTTAAACATTTTCTAGTCTCAGAATTAAAATGTGAGGATTAGCTTATTGTTTTTTTTACTTAATTTCACTGTGAATTGAATTTTCTTTTGCCGTCATTTTGCCCTTTTTTTTTTACAATTTCCTTCTGATTTATAGACTGAACGTTAATTTGCAAATAAATAATGTTTTCAATTATAAAAACATGTTAACCGACATGTATTAAGCTGCTAATTAAAGGCCTTGATTTAGAAATAATTAACTCTAACATTTAAAAGTAAAATGTTTCAGCTGAATTAGCAATTTAATTACAATTCCCATTCTTGTTCTAATAGCAAAGTCCTTTTCGTCCACATCAAGCAGTTCATTAAATACCATTTACTCAGCATTGCTTTTATATTTGACTATTTTTTACCTGATTTTTTACATTTATTTAATTTTAGACTGTGTTTTACAAGACTAAGCTCTTATACAGCTGATTTGTGTAAAGGGGAAGAAGAAAGAAGATGGTGGCGGCATTGAATACAAGTATTTGATACCTATATGATCCATAAGTATAAGATAAACAAATATATCTGAGTGGGAAACAACTGTTGGCTCTGCTCTGAATGTCATTCTGTGATCATTTTTCACAAAGTGATAATAACTTTTCTCTAGTTGCTTGCTGGTGTTCAAATATCCATCAGATGAAACGTGTATTTTACCACCAAGTTGGAATTTATTAAAAAATCTGATTCCTGCACCGAGTAAACATGTCCTCATGTCTTGACACAGAGCGGTCTCTTAACACTGAAGCCCTCACAGTGTTTCAGACAGACTGAGGCAACACATCAACACAAGAAGCCCTGCTGCAGAAAGACTGGCTCAACAACTGCTCAAGAACCAGTCAGGCTGGAACACAGAGCATCAATATTTTTCACTTTTGCAGACTATGCCCACACAGAAATAAAAATAACACTGTTTTAGAGTGAAATAAACTTTGACAACACTTTCATCAACATTGCAAACGTACCTCATACCACGGAGGGACACATTGGCTTCAGAAGGCAGAGCACAGCAACGGGGGTCGGTTGCCTTGAAAACCGCAAAACTTCAGAGAGGACCCACCCCCGTGTCACTATGGTACACACACCACAACAAACCCCCACCTACAGAAACAGGTTGCCGAGGTTTCTTCAACTCCTAAACCTTCGTTAAACTGAATTTAGCAACGTTGTTGTCTAAATTCAACTGTAACGGAGTAACGTAAAGTGTAACTAAGCGACGTAACAGTCAGTGCCAGTTTCAAAAGTTCGTTATCGTTACCATTATTTACTCTTGACTTAACGTTAAAACAAACGTAAATAACCCGCATTCAGACGCATTTCTTCCTCGTATTCTTGGTACCTTAATTCTGAAGGGGCCACGTGAATTAATTTCTCCAAACAAAGCCTGGGTTTCTGATATTTAGGAGGGTAATTATCAGTCTTGTGTAGCATGGCACTGAACCCCGTATTCACCCGTGTGAAAACATTATGGGAATATTCTCGTCCTGAGTTTAGTATTTCAGGCATGTTTAACGTTCTAATCAACCTCTTAAAATGATTCCTCTATTCAAGTTGTAGCCCTGACTTTATCATAAACCTTTCTAGCCTTAATCTGAACAATATTATTTAATTTGTGGAGTTTATTGTGGAACATGTTGCCTGCCAGGCAAAGATCGGAAGCGAAAGAAGCTCCTTAACAGCCTGAATCAAAAATACTGACTGATGATTGGCTATGAGGCTACACATTGAGGAATACAAGTCTCGAGGTTGCAGTACAAAGATGAAGCCACAAGAGGGCGCACGTTGCACATTTTTTCGTATCCAATTATAATTAGATGCCTTTTCATAATTTGTCCTCTTAAGGGGATTTAAAATGATTTATTTATTTTAATCAATGCCCAACACTGGTGTACACACACACACACACACACACACACACACACACACACACACACACACACACACACAGACACACACACACTCAAACACACACACACACACACACACACACACACACACACACACACACACACACACACACACACACACACACACACACACACACACATTGAACAGAGACAATTAAAAAAGAGTATGAAATGAAATGTAGGTTAAATAAAAACTTTAAAAAATAAATGTTATGACATTGTGTCAGGGGATTTACAAAATAAGTTATACAGGTCATATTATGTTTTTTATCTATAGTTTTAAAATATATCCTATTTCTAAACCACTCCATAAATTACAAGATGTTTTCTTCTCAAACTCACTGTCCTTGACTTTCCCCCAGGCTGACCGTTTACACTACAGAACAGCGAAAACATATTTTTCCCTCTCCTGTTTTAACAGGACGATCTTCCTTTGCACAACGCCTGGTCCATTGAGACGGATCATACCTTGCTTTACTGTGCAGAAGAACTTGACTGTCCTGACCTCCCCAGAAGACTGTATACAGTTGAATACCAATTATTATTGAAAGGCATACAGCAATTACACAATCTGCAATATTTGGGTGTCCATCATTTGTTCATTGATCTTAAGCTCTGTAACACACTGGTTCAGTTCAAAATATGCCCTCTGAGATGTTACACTGTTGAACATCTTTTTTAGTAAGTGAATGTCAAATAAAATGTTCAGCCGGTCTTCAATATTTTGATTTACAAAGGCAAAAGCAACTAGATGTTAACTGAAGTTTTATAGGTTTTTATAGGTTTGAAAAACTGTCTGAAATAGAACAGAGAGAAACACAAAGACAGAGAGATGACTTTGAAGCTGACTTCAATGGGCCCTCTCTTATCTTCAATTCTGCAATTATATGTCAAATTCAAACTCCACAAAAGGAAAATGAAGCAATAACAGAAGACGAGCTCCAGCAGATTGCTACATGGAATTGATAAGAAAGAGAAGACACAGTTGCAGAGTATTATATGTTGACTGGCACTGACCCAGAAGAACCTGTCAGCATGTCTAAAATATGAAAAAATAATGACAGAGCTGCAGACCGTGAGGAACCAGGAAAACACAAGTCTGAGCTGCGGCAAGGTCAACTGGAAGTAAGGAAACAAATAGGTAATGAGCGTATGTCCATGACAATTTCCCAGAGTATAATCTGACATCTTTATTATACTTGTTATATCCAACAAAAAGGTTCAAAACATCAATTTACAATGTTACAAAACAGAGACAAGCATAAAATCCTCATATTTCAAAGGTTGGAACGTGGTATGTTGTTCTTGATAAATGAATTAAGTCAAGGCAGTTTGTTTGCTAAGCTAAAAGCAATTCATTAAATTAAGAAGCTTCATCACCAACTTGATGCTTCTTCGTTAACTAAAAGTGCTTCAGAAACGCAAGCAAACTTAATTTGCATGTCTTTTGGCACATTTGTGTTTTTATATTTGTGTTGTTTTATCGCGTTTCTCGTAATGGAAATGTTTTGCGCAGTTCACAGCTGTCAGCCACCTAAGAAAGTAATTACACATTGTGTGTTCAAGTAAGGGATGGCAAAACATCTGAAAATGTAATAATAATAAATCAGACACCTTGCTAGTTCTTGTGCAGTTTTCTTTATTGAAAAATTAAACACACTTTCTGTATAAATACTAGCATGTCATTGTACAACACTCCTTGTTGAAATGTGCAGGAAGCAGGGGAAAGGAGGATGTAGTGACGGGAGGACAAGAGCCAATAGAGGAGCTGAAGACCAGTGGCAGGCG